CAGTTATATTTTCCTCTCTGGTTCAGTTTCTCTCTTTGAGATAAACCAAGAACTCCAATAATTGCCCAGTAAGCACACTTAAATCAGATCCTTTAAAATAACATCATGTAAATCCCAAATATCCCTCTCTAAAGTAGTACCTTCTTCCAATAGCACCAAAAACCACTGTTTTGATCCTATAATGCTGTTAAAGGCACTCAAGCAAATCTTGCACTTTCTGTTGATATAAGTGCACCTAAAGAACTACATTTCTTAAAAGCCCTCTGCTTACACACATTCTGTGGGCAGGCCGCAGAAAGAATAGGCAGGGCAGAGCGGAGCTGGGAGGGGCACTGGTAATTTACCTCTTTGCATACTTCAGGCAGTGCTAAAAGAAGACAATACGATGACTGATCACTAGGGATGCACCGATACAGATACTAGTATTGGTATTGGTGCCGATACCGAGTATTTGGGTGAGTACTTGTACTCTCCTAAATGCTCCCGATGCTTATCCCGATACCAGAACTTCTGGTATCAGGAAGCCGGGCGCTGAGTGGTTACAAGCTGCCGGGCTTCCTGATTGACCCGGTAGCCAGCTCCATGCTTCCTCGTCACCTGGTGATGAGGGAGCATGGAGATGGCTTCCCGGCTAATCGGGGGGCCGAGCGGTGAGTCGTTACACGCCCCCTGGCTAATCAGGAAGCCTTCCTTAATGGGACTTCCGGTATAGGTATTCAGTATCGGCAAGTACCAAAAAAAAATATATCGGTACTCATACTCAATACCGAAAAACCAGTATCAGTGCAACCCTACTGGTCACCAAAGAACAGAGAGCTGGGTGAGGTGGCTGATATCATAAACAAGAAAATGTACCATATATACTCGAGTATAAGCCGTCCCGAATATAAGCCGAGGTACCTAATTTTAGCAAAAAAAACTAGTTGAATTAAAGACAAATTTTAGAGATTTTAGAAAAGAGCAAGTGAAATGGTAAACAAATTGGTATTAGAATACTTTTTTTAAAGTTTGCTTTGTGAATGGGAACATGTAACAAACATAAAGTAGGTGTTATCCCAATTTTCCTGCAAAAGAAGAAATACACTTTAAAAGCAAATCTTGGCCCATGGGTAGGGCTGAAGTTTTTTTCTCTATTTGAGCAGAAGGATTTTTTTTGGATATTCTGTAGCCCCCTAACACTCTCATCCCTTAACTTTGAGCCAATACATTCTTCAAGCACAATTGACAGTCATTCAGTTACCGCTGCAGGGTTGGTGAGTAATCTTTGGCCAGCCAGTCACTGGTAGGGGTCATTGCTACACAGGACTCAACCTGTTGCAAATACTTTGTGTGACTAGGTATCATCACTACCCCTTCGATGGAGGAAGAGGAGCAAATGTTTTTAATATCACTTGCCTAACCTCTAGTACACATAGCTTTGAAAGTATACTGGCTAAAGTATCTGCAAGGCTTGTATATCTGACCTAAACCAAAGGCAATCTTTTGTGAAAGTGAACTGGAACAGTTAATGCAAACATTAGCTTTAGCTAACAAGTGCTTCATGAATTTACAATTAGGCCATGAAAGGAACCGTTTGGCTTACATTGGTCCATTGCTACAGGTGGTAACTCTCTGAATTTTGACAGAATGCTCTAGGTTACCAAAAAGATTATAGGTTTCCAGGCCACCAGGATTGCCATCCCTGAATAGGCGCATTAGCATCACTACTCCTGCTAGAAAACAGGCGAAGTGGCAGGCTGGCTGACTAGACGAGGATAGAACAGACTAGTAAGGACAGAAAAAGAAAGTTGGAACCTGCTGCTTGGAGGCCAAGAGTAAAGGTTAGAAAAGTGTGGGGAAGAAGGGGGCACAGGGGCTCAGTTAGTGTCACTGTTTTTGTCATTGCCTATGTATTCTAATTCACATATTTCTTGCCTGCGTATTGTAAGAATCCCTTTCAGTATGAAACTACACCCTTAAAATTGGCAACATTTTGCCCCCGCACCCAAATTGCCATAGTGCAATAAGCATGCCAATATTAATTTGCTATTATCCTTTTGCTAATTTACTGTTGCATTCTAGGTGCACTGCTATTATCCACATAGTGTGCTGTGATGCTGTTAGTCCTGCCCCCTTTATACTTATCCCTCCCCTGCACTCTCAGACTCATACAGTATTTAAAGTACCCATTTATTTACATTACCAACCACAATACAGAATGAGTTAGGCAGCTGTACCACAGACTAAGGGCAATATTTGATTACCTGCTTGCCTATTGGGTTGCCCCAAAGTCATCTATTAGAGCGGATTCAGACATATATTTTGTCCATGTGCTGTACAGTGCTAATTAAATTATTTGTATCTAAGTAAGACCTTTCACTGCATATCACAACCTTTAACATATATGCTTCCATTTTGTATTTCAAAACAGGGGTTTGTGTTGAACTGTTAAACTATATTTACAAAGATATTCAGGAGGCATCATTCGCCCAAAACGTCCTACACACAGGGCCGCCGTCAGGGGGGTACGGCCTATGCTCATGTAAGGGGCTCGGGCAGCCTCCGGGGCCCACCCGGGACCCATACATGAGTATCGGCCGACGGTGAAGGGCGAGGAGGTGGCTGGGCCCCCGCAGCAGCGGTGGAGGCCTGGCCCTAGCAGCGCAGAGCCCCAGCATTGCCGCTCCAGCGATTTTAAGACAAGCTGGGGCCCCATCAGCGGCCCTGCTCGTCTGAAGGCGGAAGTGACATCATGTTGGTGACGTGACGTCACTTCCAGTCAGTCCAGCGGGTCAGGTGTGCAGGTCAGTGGCGGATCCGGGGGGG